TTAATCAGCTTGTAAGCTATGACAGTAATTACACCAATATTCATAATACATATCTTGTTAAATAATATGGAATAGTTACTGAATTCATAATGAACTCAATTTTCTAAACTATTTTAAATATTTTCTATTTTCAAATTTTAAATTAAAATTCTAACCAACTTATTTTGTTTTAAAAATGAATTGGAATTCTGTCTGGCAGCAAAACAATGGATCCTTTTTAAAATTTTGCAGACTTCATTATAAATGCAAAAATTTTGTTGTGGTAGTCTTTTTTTTGGCAATTTCGAGTCTAATTAATTTGTATTTTATTTACTTGGCCCATGCAAGCCATTTAAATTCATAACGAAGTGCATGAAGTGCATGAAGTGCAAATAAAATTATTATCTAAAATTTACTGCATTGAAATTGGCAAATGTTCTTTCAATGAGAAATTTACATTTTACATTGCATATTTTTTGGCGCATTAGCCTGGCTTATATTATACAATATTATGTTTAATATTTTTTATCCATCTGTTGAGGTTCTTTTTGTTAAGTACGGAGGAGTTAATGGCTTATTTAATACTTTCACCGCAGATCCCTACTAACCATAGAACAAATGTGGGATAATTATTGTATTTAAATAGTATGCGAGTATAATTGTACTAGAGAAATAAGTCTAAGAAATTCTTTAACTATATGTACTAGTTAGAAACGCTTGTAAGTGTCTATTGCATTTTTTCTCAATAGTATCTATGATCGTTTGTTTAACCCCCTGCAGCAAGTCTTCCATTGAATTAAGATAATCACTTATTCAGGTGAATTTAGAAAAGTATGGTTTGAAGCACATTGCTTTCGTTTTAAATAGGATGCAATTTTAATTTAATGTCAGCATTTATAGATAAATAATAATCCAGTCAAGGCGTAAAGAGGGATTTTAAAAATACCTCGAGTTAAGAAAGAGTAAAAGTGCTCAAGTGCACTGCCTCAAACAGCTTAAACATAATTTATAGAATCACACTTTTGATGTACTTTTGCATTCTCTCGAGTTTCAAGTCTTTGTTTATATCCTCATTTCTGATGCACCATCCAACTTTTAGTTTATGTCTTAGTCCAATATTCTGATAAGTGTGAAGCTTTCTAATAGCGGATTAATAAAATGGATTGCTATAAGAAACATAACCTTAAAGTATTTTAGATCTAGAAAATTGTTTATAAAGCAGACTTTTATCTTTCATACTCAATTTCACTAATATAACTGGTTTCACACGCTTCGGTGTTATGTTACAAGCAAGGTTTTTGATCCTTAAAACACAACCATAAAGTGGTTTAAATCAAATTGTTTGCTAATAAAGCATAGTCACTTATCTTGATGGTTTCAGACTCTTTGGAGTTATGTTACAAGCCCGTTTCCTGATTCTTTGAAGTAAGCATTTTGTATCAAAGACTATATCTAAGAGTTTTACATCATCTTTATATTTTGCTTCTACAAAACTGACTTATATTTTTCTTGGATTTGGATTCCTACGTCATGTCACAAAAATGGCTTTCGTTTTCTTAGCATTTACTATAATTAACTACCCCAAAAGTATTTTATTATCTAATCAATATGAAGTTGTAAATATTTAATAATAGAATAATAGAGGTTTTGGACTGTTGCCAAGAATTCTCTATTCAATAAAGAGCTAACTAATAGTTTTATCATTTGAACTGAAATATCATATTAAAATTGTTCAATTTGAGGTCAGCCCATTGTGCCACACCTGATTAAATGCCTTAACAATATCAAACAAAACCATATCAATAGATTTCACTTCGCTGAGAGCTCTTGCTAGTTGGAGATCATTGAACAAATTTTCTTTTCTTTTCTTGAGAAAAAAATCTTTATCTGTAACTATATATTTCAGTCCCGCCAACACTATGTTTTTTACTATTTTAGCTGTAGCGGACAAAAAACTTATACGTCTCCAATTATTAAATAAAGTTCTTACTCTGCTTTTGGGGGAGACTACTATTACTCTAGATTTCCGAGAAGACACCTATACAAACTATTGCATTAATAATATCTATGATTCGTGTTATTACTGACAACGGAAGATAAATATACCAATATTTATTATTTAAATTTTAATATCATCCAAACTCTCTACTGAATGTATCCCACAGTAAATAATTTCGAAGAAAAGAATATCCGCATACTAATCAGTATTGACTTCTGAGTCACTAACAAAATTTAAAATATATAGGAATCATCGGTTATTTATATAATTATAATAATATCGAAACCTTATTACTTATTATTATTATTATTATTACTTTTAAGAATACATTCAACAAATAAATAGCTCGTTTAAAAATAATTAGAAGAAATTATTACAGTGGAATTGTGGCTATAGTAGTACATTGGACTATGGGTCTTAAATAGTCTAAATCTTGTTATCACAGTTTTTTACACAGTTTATACTTATTTTATTTTTTCATAGTATATATCCCAGATGTAAAAATTATTCTATTTTTACTTTTTGTACTATCAGTATTATTTATAGTGTCTTATATCTTAACGTAAACCTTAGAAGATTTGAAATCGTAAACCAAGGAATAGTGTATGATTTACCTGTAGCTAAATACCATCCCAGTTAGCTTAGATAATTTTCTTGATCGACGGTTTAATAGATCTGGTAGGCAAGTAAATATACATGTTATGTTGATCAATATGTATTTTGTATAGATCATTGTATACATTTTAGAACAAGTAATGAGAAAGACGAAGAACTTTTCCATAAGTGAAACCTATTCTGAGTCTCAGAACATAGAAAACTTTTCGTGTACTTTTTCAAAATTTTTATTTGTTAGAAAAAGTTATAATAATGACTTAACATATTATAATTTAAGTCGTGCTTTGCGAAAAGTCGAGATAACGGTTTTTGCAAAAAACTCTAAAATAATACACTGCAAAAAAAACTGTTACGATTTTTGAGTTCTGCAGAAAATTTCCCTGTAGGAAATATAGGTCTCATATTTGGAAAACAAACCTTTTTATTATTTGTAAGTTAGTGTAATCTATGCATAAGATTTATTAACAGTGGCTCATAAAGCTATATACATATATCTGATATTGAGATTCATACGAACCGTTTCACATTTGTTTTCCTTATAAAACTGAAAAAGTAGAATTACACTACTACGGAAAATGGTGTAATATGGAAAATATTTATATAACATTTGTATATATAAATATTAATATATGCAAATTCTTATCATTTTTATATTGCTTGGAGTATAGCTTATAATATTAATTCTTTTTAATGTTTGTATAGCAGTATTCGTTGCTAAATGCTTGAAACACAATACATATAAAACTGTAATTCTCAATAGGTTTGTTTGCTTTAGTATTTGTAATGGCTACAATGACTATAATTCTCAGTAACTTAACATTAAATCTTAATAAAACTCATGCAACTTTTGATTATAGCTAACAGCTTAATGCTTAATTTTAATGTAATTTATAACCAAGAATTAGTTTTTTCTTGATGCATAGGTAGCAAAATTGTTTGTTTATTGGAAAATGAGATACTTTTGCAGTAACCTTTTGTTGATGAATCTTTAAATGATGAATTTTTATATGTAATGCACCTTATAATTTGATGCATTTATATCGATATCTGTATATTAATAATTGCAACTCTCAATGTGTTTACTTTAAAACTAATATTGTTTGAAAGTTTCCATTGAAGCCAGGTGTAAGTGCTTATTTTTAATGCAACTTTTATTCTAAAATAGTTTTACAAAATGTTAGGGTCATGTCCAAAGCTATCTGATTATTGTAATCCTAACAACTATTAATATATTAAGAAATTTGTTCTTGTAAGTCCAAAGATTATTTGATTTTTGCATATATTTATTAATATGTTTTATTTTTTTAATTTATATAAGATTTGTAAATTAATTTGTGTAAATCTAACAATTCAAGCTATTCGTAATTCGAACCAACACATGACTTCGGATTTTCAAAAACCTTGAAAGTAACATGAACCTCGTCTTTAAAGTTCACTTTGATGTTTTGTGCTTTGGTTAAACAGTTGACTTTGTACTAAATATTTGGAATTCCTTTTATCATATGCACAATGAGCATCTCAGCACCCTTCTAGTGTTCAATTAAATTGTTTACACTTCACATTACTCAGATCCCTCCGCACAACTGTGCCTATTTCCACACTTTATAGTGTTCAATCCAATATAGTTTTTGTACCCTTCTTTTGTACTGATTTACAGAGCATGAGGTGGTCTCCGCTGTGCATGCACTAACAGTGCTCAGTGCTGTCCACTGTTCAGTTAATTCCTCGCAATAAAAACACCAACACTGAGCCGAGGTATAGTACGGCACCAGGAACAGTAAATAAAAATTGTGGCTGTTGTTGCATGCTTCAGTGAGCTCATTTCAAATTTATTAAAGTGCCTGCACTTTACTCCAGATTTTTAAAGCTACTCCAGCCGACAATATTAAAGATTTATTAAAGTTAAAAATAATTGGTAGAAATTTTCATTTTCATTTTAAATATGGAGAAGCAGTCTGCATTAACGATTTGACTGCATTAAAATTATGCTCATTTCAAGCTCAAGCAGCTATGATACCAGATATTGGTCGGTGACAATTTGAGCCCCTACATAGTAGTTCCAGAATTATCTTATCTTTTTCCGTTTTTCATTGCAGTTTTACTTTTCATTAGCCTTCTTTGAACTGATTTCGTTAATTTGTAGTTGCGAGCTTATTTTATGATTATTGCTGCGCAATTTACTATGTCAATGAGCATCGCCAGTAACATCCCTGTGTTGTGAAACAATGAATTAATTTGCCATTTACCATTTATAAGCAGAAGAGCAAAAATTGCATTTTAAAATGAATATTTTTTTATTAAAACACAAAACACTGAACACTGAACAGTGAACAGTGAACTTAAATGAAGAAAAATAGAAGAAATTTTATGCTTATTTAACGTGTTTTGGCGATTTGGATTCTTTTAGGTGCCCGAACGTGTACGAGCAATGAATGCCAGTATTAAACTTTTACTCATCGTACGTGAACCTGTGACAAGAGCCATTTCTGATTACACACAATTACGTAGTCATGCAGCAACAGCAACATTGCCCCTAGCAGAGAATACGAATGGAGCGATACCAGCTACTGATGTGGATAGCGGCGCACTACAGAAACCATCGTTGTTCTCTTCGTCTTCATCCTCATCATCATCCTCATCCTCATCCTCATCCTCATCCTCAACGTCATTGTCATCATCGTCTTCATCGTTGGCGTCGCAATCCTATGGCAAATTAAACGCATACTCTTGGTCGCAGTTCTATGACAATTCGATTGGTGGCGGAGGAGGAGCAGGCAGCGGAAGTCACAAAAATGTTATTGCCAAAGGCGGAAATGCCAATAGACACTTCGGTGGCAGCAACCAATACACAACAACACCAACGCCGCAAACGAATGCCGCAGCACAAATTGGAGCCAAGTAAGTGAAAGCACATTCCGCCATTGAAGCGGTGCGAGGTGCAAAAAAAAAAAAAATGAAATAAAATTAAAAAGTCGGAATAAAATAACAAAATAAAAATCTTAAAAGCAAATTAGTTTTTATGCAAAGTTCCGCATTTGAGTGAACATGGATGCGAATTCGCTATACAAAATGGCGTTGATAGCGAAACGCTGAAATGTTGAAACGAATTCCGAGAGCAATTTAATTTGTTAAAAAAGCAGAGATAAAATATTGCAATCATTTATTAAAAACATAAAATGAAATTAAAAATAAATAATATTGAAACTATAAAAATAATTATATTATATTTCCCTTCTCTCACATGTAATTCTACTTATGTATTTCTTTTTTCTTGTTTTTTGTATTGCTGTAGAACATTCGAGGAGTTGGCCATATTCCCCAATGGCACAGTCAACGAATCGTACCGGCCGTTGACCATTTCCATGTACCACTTACACCTGCATCGTTGGTTAGAAGTCTTCCCACGTGAGCAATTACTGGTTGTCAATGGTGATAGATTGATTGAGGATCCAGTTTCACAACTCAAACGGATTGAAACGTTTTTGGGTGAGTGCATTTCTGTTCATTTTCTGCAATTTGCCAATTCGAGTTTATTAGCTCACACATGCATAAAGGCCTACTAATAAATTAAACCTCAGAATTGTATGCAAGTGTCAATAAATTCTGATAGTCATACGTGCTTGGCACGGCGCGATGTAATTTCAGATAATTAAACAGTTACCGGATAACTCGTTGGTCTTGACTTTACTGGCACTTCAATGAATTATTAAGGAAATTAAAATTTTAATCATTTTATAATAGGTTTATGATGGATGAAATAAATTCCAATATTGTGAACCACACATATTCTGAATATCAACCGAAAGTCTAATTTATTTATTTAAAGAATTAAATACTTACCAGAATTGCAATACTTAACCGATAGATAACCGAATATTGGCATTGGACTTTAATAATATACAAAAAAGTGACTTCGCATAGTGATTTATGTCATATAACATATAGAAATACTCTGGCATATTCCACGAAAAATTGAAAAAAGATGCTTTAAAGTGAATTACTCATTTAGATATCAAAAATTCGGCACCAAATTTGTATAAGTTTTTGTTTTAGTTTAAAATATAAATCTATAAATTGTAACTATATATTATGAAATAAGTACCTTTATAGGCGCTTCAAAGCGAGAAACCGAGAGCTTAAAGAGTAAATGGACCAAAAATGATCATTTTTAGGCATATACCGCGTATTTGCGGTTGATCAAAATAAGAAGAAAATCAGGTGGAAACTGTATTTTCCACAAAAAAGTATTTTAAAAGACTTTTTTCCAAAAAAAAAAATGCAGTTAAAAAAGATATAGATATTTTCAAAGTGACCAAATCTAGTCCATTAATTATACCTTAATTTGATAGCTACTATAGTCCATTCTATTGTCCATTCTATAGTCCATATAGTAAATGAGTTCAGAAATTATAAAGGTTCAAATTTGTAGGTGTTTACCGTTAGTCTATAATTGAAAAAAAATTAAATTTATTTTGAAACTTGCTTATAATCAATTAAAGTTTAAATGTACATAATTCTTGTAGAATCAAGTTTCATAAATAACTGCTAAAGAAGTAAATATCATGACAGAAATAGCAGTGACCCTTAACATATAGGTAGAAGTTATTCATCATTTTAAGTGCTGTTCATTATGTTCCTAATAGGGAAGTTTCTAATATCAAATGTGAACACGCTCCCAATACATAATACTCATTTGTTTGCCCCAACTAAGAACTAAGGCGAGATAGTCGCAAAAAATGTAAATCGAAGTATAATTCTCTCTAAACAGATGTATCGTTTTATCATATTAACGAACATAGTTATAAATACTACTTCCCTACAATTTGGGGAATTGGCGGACGTCTTCATCTGTCAAATATGTCAAATTTTAAACATTTCCTTTTAAGGAGTTATATTTTGCAATGTTGTATTCGTCATTTATGGTTTAATTTCCTTTGATATATTCTTATCTAAGCTATTTTCATTGGCAAATAAAATGGTCTAACGAAGACCACGGAAACATACTATTATAAACAAAATATCCTTTAATCTAACTTTCACCATTCAACAACCCAATTTCACTTGCACTTTCGAACAAGTTTTCTTCATTAAATCAAAAAAAAACACTGTTTAGACGAAAGAAATGCGAAAGGTGTGAACACCGTGTTAAAATAAGAGCAAATTAATTAAAGATAGTCACTGTCTTAAAAAAATAGGTGTAAAAGTACAAATGCTTTCATGGAATAATTATTTAATTAACTGAGAATAGCAAACGAAGAAAGAGATTTGATTTTCAGGAAGATTGAATATATGAAATGTCTTTTTGTGGGCTGTACTAGGTTAGGTTAGGTTATACCGGTGATCCCTAGTGGATCCACTTAGGCCTATTAGCCCATTGTGATGCCATATATATATGTTGAAAACCTCAAGGTTTAAAACCACCTAGAGTGGATTGTATTAAAATTGTTAGAATTGTTTTAGGGAAATGATTTATCTGTAGATTTCTATAATTCTTCTAGATTTTTCTCGCATCTTTTATTATTAATTTTTTTAAGAAGTAATAAAATTTTAAAATTGATCAATACGTATATCCATAGAATTCTACTTCCAAATATTAATATGTTTACTAGTAGAATTTATTAGTAAATCTCTCTGATTCTACTTAAACTTTTCCAGTCGAAAGTTTTGCCATATTGGCAGTATGTTCTTTTGCTACCAACATGGACTTTTCCGGACTTTCAGCAGTCTGCATTTCGTCTAAATAAGTTCAAGAATATTACTTAGTTGACCATTACAGACGTGAGTAGTCCTTGGCAACCTCGAGTAGCCTCCGACAACCAGTCCCCTCAATTGCTTGCTATCACCAGTTGGTAGTACCGAGCTCCCCCCAACTCGTTGATCACCTGGTCTTTTTACTGCAGATGCAACTTAGATTCCCAGACATTCCAACATAGTGCTAGACTGGGCACCTGTTGTATTAAAACTACTATTCTAATTTGTTTATGAACATTTTTTGCGTTGGGCAAATAGGGAGTAGGTTTATACTTCCTCTACAGCCAGATCAAGAGCTACATGATCAACTTTTTCCAAATGTAGAACCTCTTACGTGGTACACAGAAACAAATCAGAAGTATATAGACTAATATCTGTTTTAACAGGGCACTGGACCATAGGACGGCATGGGACTAGACATGAAATGTCTACAGAACATTGCAAACAAAGATATTAGAACATCTGCTGTGTTTATATGCAGACTTGTACAGAAACAGGCTTAAGCTTTTTGGTGTCCTCTTTTTTAATACACTCTACGATATTTCCAGATTTAGCATTTGCTGTACACTCGTATTTATCAATGCTTCTAGCTGATTCTATCTTGACCATTCTTCTATGCATTATTACGAGGAATTGTGGAACCAAAACGACTTTTTTTAGCTAATTAAGGTAATTTTTTAACTAATTAATTAGCTAATTTCAATAGTTCTGCAAGATTTCCAATGCGTCTATTATCATCCATTTTTTTAAGGAGTAATAAAATTTTAAACTTGATCAATGGACTCATAAGTTTCTCCTTCTAAAAAGTTAATGTATGATATATTTTTCTAAAAAAATTTTCAGTGTAATAAGATTACAAAATAAAATTAAAAAATTCATGTTAAATTTTTTTATCGAGAATGCCGCTGTTTAAAAGTAAGATGGGTTCGCATAGAAAGTGAAAAGACAACAACAAAAATTGTTTGTATCATTTTCTTTTCGAACCCTTCTAACTTAAAGAATTCACTTCTCATTAAATCAAAATGAAAATTTACTTCAAAAAATCTTAACATATTTTGACAAAAAAAGTTTTAATTTTTATTTTTGTAAGTTTTTGATAAGGGCTTTCAATTTATATAAAAAAAAGTACAATCTGTTGTTATCACTTTAAAGGAAAACTAAAAAAAAAGAAAACAAATAAGAGACAATCCATAAATGTACCAGATTCAAGTCAAGCCAACTCGAGTTTCCTGTAAAAATTTCAATTAATTAACAAAAACGTTTGTTATTGCGGCTGAGCCTTTTCAATTATGCACGGAATAATAAAATCCATGAAACGAAGAACGAAGATTTTTTACATTTATTCCATTTTTTTCGATTTTGTTTTTGTTTTTCATATCCTTGATGGACATGTCAATTCTTCCGAAAAAAAACAACCCAAAAACCAACAAACACGGAACAATCGTGCAGGTATCGAGCATCGTGTCACCAGCAGCCATTTTTACTTCAACGAGACAAAAGGATTCTACTGCTTGCGTTACGACAGCGGCGACAGATGCTTGCGTGAGACCAAGGGACGCAAACATCCTCACGTCGATCCCGTCGTCGTTTCCAAATTGCGTAAATTTTTTGCCGAACACAATCAGCGATTTTACGAATTGGTCGGTGAGGACTTGGGCTGGCCTGAGGAATAAAAACCAAGGCTCCTATGCTCCTACGCTCATTGCATGTCCATTGAAAAGTAAACATTGTTATATTGTAGATTCGTCGTGCGAGTAGGCAAAGATTAAGGATAAAAAGTTTACATGTAAAAGTCAACAGAAACTGAAAAAAATTCTAGCGTGTAAAACAGAAAATGTTACTGTTATTGAGAATTATGGACTGATGGAATATTATTAGTTTAACATAAATATTTTGATTTCGATTTAATTGTTTCGTATTATTGTTAACAACAGAATATATGTAGAGTTTATTGCTGTTTTAGTGGTTGCGTGTTCGTTTCTCTCAGTGTACTTTATGTGTTATCTGAAACGGTTGAGTGAGTGTGGATTGTGATTGTGATTGTGATTGTTGCATTTGAAGGATAATAAATTTATTTTTGTTTTCGTTTTTGTTTTTAATGTGGAATGTTATTGAAGCACTTCGTGTATGTATTTTATATACACGGAGATAAAAATAAAACAATATGTCCCATGACACTTATTCAGTTTTTTTTTATTTTATATTCAAGTAAAAATATCATTTAATTGCCTCGAATCAGTGCAGTCATGTGAACAAAATTTATTTTGCTTTTTAATGTGATATATAATATTGCGAATTAAATTTATGACAGAAGAATATTTGTAATAATTTAATACTGAAACAAGTACTTCACACTTGACTCTTATCTTATAAGCTTTTACCTATTATTATTTGAAAAGAAGTAGTGCACTGCGAACTAAAAGATCTATTGTGCCCATTAGCCGAATTAGAGTGTTTCTTCAAGTCCGATTTCTTCAATGAAGGACAATATAGAGCCTAGCTTTATTAGCCTTGAATCCTTATGAGTCATGAAATGCTAGGAAGTGTTTCTTCCGATGGCGCATCAGTGCATCGGGCACTCCCCAAGCACATGATATGTAATTTCTCACTCTTCTCTACAGTATCTGCAGTATGAGTTAGATTGAATTCGTAGCTTCGTTAGATGATTATTCAATCTACAATGACGGAAAAATAATCCCGTTAGGCTCGCACTTAATAAATGGGGATATTCATTTTCAATTATTTTAAAATAGTTAAATTGTTAAAGAACA